TACATACCCTCCAACTGCTACGGAATTTCCGTAGTTTCAGAAATCTTCTTTTCAGACGGTAGCAAAATTAATGTCTTAATATTCAAAAAAAAATAATTTTAGCGTAACTTGTCCACTATTACTTATAAAAGTGCAGGCCATATGGCTAGATTCTTAAGTTCTGATAAAAGTTTTATGAGAGATCCATTTGCTTTAAAAATTTCTACTTTGGTTCGCTACCACTAGAAAGAATTATTTTCAAAATCCTCATAAGTTGGAGGGTATGTAACAGGTTAAATAAATATCTGCATACCAGCTAAACTATACGAATATTGAGATAAAATTTTCTTAGTGGTGTAGCAATATAATAGTGTTTTGACATATTAAATCCTATTTAAAATTTCTAAAAAGTAAAAATTTAGTGATCTATTAGTTTAGATCGTTAGCTCTTAATAGACGACAGCATTAAATATAGCCCAGTAACCACATTCTTCATGTCAGATTGTATCATATCAAAATATTACAAATGATAGTACCACTGTTTTTTTACTCTTATATACTATTGATCCTGGGGATCTCCCCCCGTTAATTTTGTACCAGTATAAACTTATTCCTTCATGAGTTTTGAGCATAGAACAAACCAGTATAAGATGAATCGGTTGGTGGCTCTAAGCTCCAAATATCGAGGTACCCTACTTATCCAGTTCGTTAGCTCCCCAGCCATAATGTATAAACCTATGTCACTATGTATGCTACCACCTGTGTCATTCTGTCAAATTCCGGTCGCCCAAGACATTACATCATTTGAAGGAGAATACTGCATCAGTCCGAGTTCAAGTAACTTCGTTAACTCTTTTATGTTTAAGTAGTTCAATTATCTTTAGAATGTATTTCCAGCTTTAATTGTTGGTGTACTACCACTCAGTAAAATCTTTTTCAGCGACCGTGCAAGTTGATCAATGTCATTAACCTCTTATTTGACGACGATACTTCGGAGTGACATTTTTATGTTTTCAAGGAAATAAAGGTGGTAGTAAAAGTTATTGCCTCGTGAACATTTGCTTCAGTTCAAAAACAAATATATTACTCTTTTTATCCGACCATCATGGAATTTTAAGTTAAATATGTAAATAAAGTGTTAAATTCTTATCCTAATCTGCCAAAAGTGGACTCCGCTTCGCAATATGTTCACTTACCGATTCTAATTCTTTGGCCAGATTTTCGGTGATCAAAAATTTGTTCTTAAATATTCATTTCGTAGTTTATTTTAGAGGAATGAGACCAATTCCATTTATAATTAATTCAAACACCTGTAAGCAAATCTTGGTCATGGTGTCGTGTCGTGTTGGTTCAATTAAATTCTGATTGCATTCTGATCTTTCAATCTAGTGCCAAATTGAAGGATCAGGAATTGTACTTTTTTTAAAAATTATGGTGGAGCTAATGCAGCGTTTCTCAACCTTTAAGTTTTCGCGGTCCAGTTTTCAATCATCATTTTCATCGCCCCCCCCCGCTTACAGTAAAATGTATACAACAATAATGTACATTGAGTATTTTGGATTCTGTCTTCTGTCTTTAAATTACTTTAAAATAAACTGCCAAAACAAAAGTAAAGTAAAGGCCAGCAGCAATTGTAGGAACTATGTTTGGAGATAATTTTTCAAAACAAATGCAGTCCATACCTCTTTCAAATGATACTGTTGCTCGTCGAATTTGTGATATAGCTGAAGATGTATAGTGTCAGCGTTTTTTGAAGTTGCGTGTCAAATTGTTTTCAATACAGCTTGATGAAGCAACAGATAGTAATAAAGATGCTCATTTAATTGCCTAGTTCGATTTTGTGATAACACGTCAGTAGTAGAATTACTTTTAGAATTAATCAATAGAACTCAAAACAACAGAGCTCGTATTATTTGCTATTTTAATTGATTTTGTGAATGAGGCAAACATAGAATGCAAAAGTTTCGTCGGAGTATGCACCGATGGTGCTCGTTCAATGTCCGGAAGATTCCAAAGTATACAAGCTCTTGTAAAACTAAAATCGCCTCACACATTGCATGATCCACAGAGAAGCTTTGGCTTCGAAAGAAATTAGTCCTAGTTTGAATATTGTGTTAACTACGGTTGAAACCGTAGTAAATCATATAAAAATGAGACCCCTGAGATCGAGAATTTTTTCCGCACTTTGTAAAGACTCGCATTCAATACATTCAGCGTTGCTATTTAATTGCGAGGCAAGATGTTTATCACGTGAGAAATTTTTGCAACGTGTTTATGAATTAAGAGAAATCCCTTTTTTCATAAAAGAAGATAACAGACCGGAAGCCGAGAATTTTCGTGGTTGTTGATTTGTGATGAAATTGAGCTACTTGGTCGTCGTATTCGAGAAATTAAATAACTTAAATCTTCAACTCCAAGGAGTAAATACACATATGTTGGATATGAGTGATAAAGTTAATGCTTTTTGTAAAAAATAGGAATTGTGGGGCAGGAATTTAAAGCAAAAAAACCTTACAATGTTTGCTAATGTGGATGATTGTACTAAAACTTATCAGGCTGAAGAAGAACGTGTAAAAGTTGTTTTTGAAACCATTGAAAATCATTAAGCCATGCTGGCAAAGATTTTAAAAAAGTATTTTCTTGCTGACGGCAAACTGATAGCAAGTTTTGAGGGGGTTAGGGATCCATTTCATAAGACTCCCGAAGGACTCTCAATTGATGAAGAAGAGAAATTCATATACTTCACAACAAGTTTCGAAACCAAAAGACAATTTAGTAATAAATCACTATTTGAATTTTGAGCAGGTGTAGAGGATGGTTTTTCTGCACTAAAAACAAGGTTATTTCGCATTCTATTACCATTTTCAATAACCTGGAAATTCTGAAACTGGATTTTCTGCTGGGCTTCTTTTAAGACACAATATAGAAACTGAACTGAGAGTAGCTATTTCTAATATTAATCCTTACCTCGAAAAACTTTGCTCTGCAAAACAGGCCCAAAGAAGTCACTAATAATTATTAAATTTGTTTTTAATTTAGTATGTTTTGATTAAGTAAGGTGGGTGAGCCAAAGGTGGGCCAGTACTCCTAACGTAGCCTACCCTCAAAAGTAGAAATAATTTTATTTTGAATGACAAGATGACCATGCTGCATTGTAAATCTTGTATCTAAGGTGCACGTGGCTGAATTGGCAGAGATTTCCTTAAATGGCCTCCATTGTATGAAGTGATTTAATTTTTTGCAGTTGTCGTTCTAATTTCCGGGTATAGGAAGATATTGTAATTTATATGTGTTTAAATTCTTTTGAACTTTGAGTTATTATATGTTTTCTGAATATTTTTTTTTCTTTAACCACATTACTTTAACTCGAATTAATCTATCAGACTAATAGTTTTAAGTCGTGCAAATGGTGACCATATGCATGTTCCCAAGGGCGACACCGGTGCCAAATTAGGGACACATGGACCACCTTCAGAAACAAACGTGAAATCTATAAAAGAGTTCATTATAAATCAGTATGTATATTATTTCTCAAAAATTAATGATTTAATGGAATACCAATTGATTTATTTCATTTTAATCAAATGTGGAACTTTGGTATTTTTTAAATTTTTATAATATTTTTACGTTCTCTGCACTTTAGCGGAGTTAGCGATATTTTGTTTCAAGATTTTTGTTTTATTTGCATTTTAAAGTAATTTTTCGTTACTTGCTACAAATTTGAAATTGTACTATGAAATAAATGAAATTTTATTTAACACTTAAAAGTATACATGATATGTATTAGAGATAAGTGTAAGATGTTACAAAAAAAATTTCAGCCACGCAGACTTAACTAGAAAATTAGGAAAAATCCTCAAAACAAAGCAACCTTTGGCTCCCCACCTTCATCATTTAATAAGTTGTTTTACTTTAATAAGTTATTAAATATGTCGAAATGTATTTTGTTTTCTATGTGTATGTGCGCTTTCCTTTCATCCAGTTAATGAATTTTTTCAAGTAATATTTTCTGTTGGATATTCTCGAGCCACCCATCTAGTGTGCTCGCTCCCCACAGGTTGAGAATCGCTGAGCTAATGTAAAAAAACTACACAATTCATTTAATGCTACTACTCTTTTTTATATCTATTTTTGCATTATTGTTATTTAAAATTTTGGTTGTTATTGGATTGACCCTTTGACGAATATTGGACATCTATATTTCTTTCTGACGATCTAATTAAAAGCAAAAATATATTTCAGTATTTTTAATTATTAAAAACAGTCTAATAGTTACTAAAAAAATCCCTAATCGGAATTATATTTGTACTAAAATATAAAATCCAAAAAAAAAAAAACATTTCTTTTTAATCATATTCAAAAAATTAACAATACTTGATTTTAAAAATTAAAGAAATTTGAATGATAAATAACTGTTTTCTCACCTAAATAACTATAATTGCAATTTCGACGAAAATTTGATTTGTTTGGAAGTAAACAGTGTTTAGAAGATTAGAAGATTTAACGTAGAAAAGGGCACCTGAGATTCGTGCTGTATTTTACAATGATAAATTATTAAAATGATATATATATTATTTTTCACTAACTTTAATCTAAATGAATACAAAATAAAGAAAAAGTATGAGAAATATTTTAAACAAAAATTCGCGTTAAAGGGTTAAGCCAATTTCTGTTTTTTATTATCGTGTTGATACCTTTTTGAATACATTTGAAAACTTTTTCGTAAGTATGATCACTTAGCATCGATAGAAACCTGCCCTGGATCTTGGTCAAAATAATTTTGTATCAATGCAAATTAAAAACGCACATATTTTATACTTATGCTGCTGTTTGTTTTTCTTTTGCAAAAAAAATCTCTTCTTGGTAAATTTAGATGTGCCCCACTTTTTATTATATATAAATACTTTTATAATGTCATGTTTATACTTTTTATAATGTCATAAAAGTAAATAAATAAATAAAAAAACAGACAAAAAATAAATTATTTTACATACTGTTAGAAAACAAAGCTGCTACGTCTCTTTTTGAACAGGATGATGGAAGGCAGGCATTCAATCTTGGTTGAGCAATATAAAAATATTGAGCAAATTTTGCTAAGTTACTCATCAACTAGAATAGTAAAAAAATAAATAAGAAGTTTGCAATATCTTTTCTCTAAACATTAGAAAAAAAATTTATATTCAGATAAAAGGGAAAAACTTTTTTTTATTAATACAAGTTTGTGGGACGAGTGCTTAAAATTATTACAAACAGAATATTTCATTAATCAATCAATAGTTAAAATATTCACATTCGGCGAATATAAAGTCAAACGATCCGAATCATATGTATCTTTATATTCTTCTTTGTTAGCGGAAAAAAACGGATAAGCCTTATAACATTTGTTGAATTTTAATTTTGTATAATGTCATAGCAAAAAGTTTTATCTTCGGGGCTATATCTTAGAACTGATGGGGAATATGTTTTTCTTTGATTAAAAACGCTATTTTTTAAATTAAATTTCGATTTATTACCCTCAAAATACGAGGGAGACGATGTTTTGAAAAACTGGTTTTTATCGTTTAAACGCTAAAAAGGCAGGAATTTTTGTTACTCTAATGTCATACTAAATTGTCACCACCCTTCAGTAGGTTCAAAGACAAAATGTAATATGATTTTTTTAATACAATTGTTTGAAAGCACAATTTAATTTTCATTTTGTGTCTCATTAAACATAATCGTTTCATCTTTCCCAGTTTTTCCTAAAGGTATGAAATTTACACCAGCTTTTTCTTTCGAATATAAAGTCGAGCTTGTATCATTGGAAATTTTGGGTTGAATTTGATACTCCGGTTGAATAGCTAAACCACTCGCAATTTTCCTTTTTCAAGCATCAATGAAGTTATCATTCAATTCATAAAGAAATAAGATTCAATCCTTGCAGTTATTTAGAATGGCTTGCTTTTTATCCTTCAATTTTTTTCATCAAAAGGGTGGTTTGGGACAATAGCTCTAAGAAATATGATGAGATCAACATCTTGTTCAACAATAACTGCTTGCCGGTTATTGTTGTTATCATGATTGTATTTCTAATACTAAAATGACTGCATATAACTGAGAAAAATAAACTACTAATGTTTGAAAGAAAAATACTCAAAGCCATCTTCAGAGCGGTTAAAAGAAACAGTGTTTGGAGCATTCAATACAATTATGAATTATGCAGAAAATTCAAGTAACCAAACATAATTTCAGCTATTAAATCCTATAGAATAAGAAGGCTGGATGGAAGGGATGATGGTGATCCAGTTAAAAAGCTGACTTTTGGAAAGTTTATAAGCAACCGAAAAAGGGGTGACCAATCACCAGATGGATTGATTCTGTGTGAAAAGATCTCAAAACCATGGNTATATATATATTAATTTTATATCTTTTACTACATGCTGACCTGCCAACTGCTACGCTGCTTACAAAACATTTTACAGATAAAAACAAAAACTTACAAAATTTCTGGTAATATTTTTAACATTTTAAAAGTTTCAACACGATACACTGTGGGCCAGAAGACCATGATTTTAGCAAAAAGTCAAAATTAAATTTTCAACTAAAATGTGTTTAGGTATTAACCAAATTAAGTATTCATAATCATTCCAAACATTATAATTTACTTTTTGGACCGAAGAGAGTATAATGTAGAGAAAAATATGTTAAAACATTTTTTTTAATGTAACTATTAAATTTATATTTCAGAAATATATATATAGGAATTTCCCCTTACTGTTGCATTTTTATCAGAGTAATTAGTCTGAAATTGTTGTACAATTTTTCAATTTGTTGGATTAGTTAATACTCTTGACAAACTTATAGTTTATATCTTATCATTTGACATTTTACAATGTTTGAATCACTTTCGAAACTTATCTCCAAAAAGTTTGTTGTCTTCCTTGATGTTTCTTGTTTCGAAAAAACCTGCCCCATTTTGCTCATATTGCAAAGGTGTCCAAATATACCGAAAAACAAAAATTTTGTTTTTTTCTTCATGTTTTCGGTTTATTTTTAATTAATTAGCGTTATTTTTTAATATTACTTCGGAAATATAATTCGTTTTTCATTTTTAATATAAAATTACGAAAATTATTATATTTTCATTGCTATATTTAATTATTTAAACGCATTATACTTTTACTTTATTTTTGCTCACCATATTTCAGCAGCCATTTTGTTTTGTTTTTTGGTATTTTTAGTGTATTTCAAAATTTCAACTATGAATTCAATTTACTTGCACATAAAAACCCCTAAATAAAAACCCCCAAATTCTGAAACAAATTTTGTCGAAATACTAATTTTGGCTACGAAACCTTGGTTGCTGGCCCACTGTGCGATGGAGCTTGAACAAAGTAGCGTTGCATATGAACTTTTAAATCATTTATATGTAGCGGTGTGGAAAATAAATTTAAATTAATAAAAAATAAAACATAAACTTAGCTACCACTAGAGTAAATTTTACAAAAAGCGTAGAAAGTTGGCAGCCTTGAAGATGTATTCTAACATCGAAATTAAAAAAATGAAAGTGGAAAATGCTTAAACAAAAAATTTCCTGACATAGTGTTATAGTGTAAGGGTTATTAAACCTCAATATTTTTGGGAACTTTTTTTTTCAGTAGCAACCAACATAAATAATTTCCCAATGTTAAGGAACAGCGTAGAATTTTAAAAAAAAGTAGTAAAAACCTATACTGAATATCCTCTAAATTATAAAAAACAATGCAAGCTAATATTTTATTTATTTTTATGTACTTAAAATTTAAAGCTTTTGAGAGGAGGGGGAATATCATCCTTTGGGAATGAGAATTTTTTTTATTATTAGAACACAGACAAATAATGTCCTAACATTTAATTGCTTAAAATTTAAAATAAAATCTGCAAAAAAGTTTTATTTGGAAAGAATATAGAATTTATAGTTTATTTATTATCATCCTCAGAAAGAGAAACTAATTTTATAGCTAAGATCAATATACATTAAATTCTAACTTTTGGAACATTAAAAATTAGAAACAAAAAATAATGTTTAAAGTTTTTGGGGAGTACCTAAAACTTTTTTGGGGGGGGCGGGTTGATGATATTGATGTAATCCTCATGAAATATAAACTATTTTTTATTTATTACTAGGTCCCTTGCAATTCATATTCCAACATTTAATTTCCTAAAAATAAAATAAGTATTATTTTAAAGGCATTTAAAGCCATTTTTTTGAAAATCAGGCAAAAATGTAACATTTTGATAATTTATTATTAGATCAGTTTGATTTTTTTATATTTAAGTAAGTTATGAGAAATGAATATTGTGCAAGTTAGAGCTTCTAAAAAATTTTTTCTTTCCTTTAGAAAATTGCAAAGTCTACATTATTACATTGAAATTTCATTTCAAGCAACAATAACCCCAAAGTTTTGTTTTGCTATATTATTAGTATATTGCTGCCTAGTTATGAACATGCACTCGTTTTCATAAAGGATTCTTGCTTTTCGGAGTTTCTAGAATTTTCCTGAGTTATCCATGCTTTTAACAGATATAGCGATTCAAACTTTCAAAAATCCTGCATTTTTTTCATTAAACTTTTCTCAAAAAAGCATTGCAACTCAAAAAAACTAACTAATACATTTTGTAAATGTAATAATTACTAATACGCGGAACAGAAAGAACAAGTAGACTTTGCCTTACTTTTAAGAAAAAAGTTGCATTTACGATTTACGGGACAGTGACAATGGATTCTTCCCTTCAAAATAAGCTAAAATAAAGAGATTTTATAAGAACTCTATATGTAATTAAAGATATAAATGTGAAAGGGGGCGTTCGTTGCTCATACATTTAACCTTCAAGTCACTGCTTTTGTTGTCAATCATTTCCCTTAGATAGCGAATATTATTAAATGGATAGTCAAGGCTTATGAAAAAATTATCACATATTACCATAAAGATTTAACAACGTTATATAATCGTTTCTGAACTGATAAACAGAGTGAAAGGATATAAATATCTTTCAAGTAAATATCAGAGATACAAGCTTGGAAATTTACTTGATTAAATTACAAATTACTGAATAAAGATTTAAGATTCAGTAAGGAAATAATTGGGGTGATGTAATTTAATTTTCAGACCAGATAAAAACTAAAAACCGAATTTTTCAATAACTTTGACGCAGCATAACTCTAAAAAGCAATAATGCCCCATGGAAACTAGTTTATAACTAGGCATCGGTTTACTAATAATAAAGCAAAACAAAACTTTGAAATATTACTGTTTTCTTTAGGTAAATCACTTAAAACCTGCTTACACTTTTAAAGATAGGACCTTGAACTTTGAAATTTTCTACAGAGGTGAAGTTATTTTTTAAGAGCTCAAACTGACGCAATATACATTTTTATAACCTACATTAAAATAAAATAAAATCAAGCTCATCAAAAAATACAACTATCACACATTGCCTGAAGATCAAAATAACGCTCTTAAAAGTTAAACTTTAAGAGGAGGGGAATGACATACTCAGGTAATATGAAATACTTTTTATATCATTCAGATCTAGATAAGTTATACGCCATTATTTAATTAGTTAGAAAGCGAAAGAAAATGACAGAGATGAATTTAATCAGAAATAAATTTAGAAATTAAAGTCGTTAAAACAATTATGTTGCAGGATGAAAAAATATTAAGTATTTAATGTTAGGTAAATAAGTGACATGGCAGATGTATAAAATGATATCGGGTTAAATCAATCATGTCTTATGTTACATAAAGACTCATTAAAAGCTATTTACTGTGTTAGGTTCAAACAGACTATGAATGATTTCTACTGGCATTTCTATTGGTGACATCGCTGGTCTCTCCGGCAATGGTAGATCTAAATATATATGGCAATACTGTCCATGAAAACTGCGACTTGGAGATTCTATTTGAAGACATGTATCAAAGTCGCCAAATGCCGTAGGATTTCCACCCATCACACCATTTGGTATTTTCCCAGATGAATCCAACACTAAAAGGAAAAACAAAAATAAGTAAACTGTGGTAGTTCGAATTTTTTTCAGATTAAAACTGGAAAAAAAATGCAGGTCTCTAAACTGCTACGATTTTTGGAGGATATTAGTTCAGTAGTAGACAACTAGAAACCAAAGCTTTCAGAATTTTAGGTAATTTTGCAAACATTTTAATAGTCTCACCACGTGACAGACCTGCCAACTTTATGGTGAAATATTTATGAAATGGTGTTAAAAAACTTATTGAAATGCAATTATAGATTCAGGACTGCCAGCTACTACATAGCCTCACATTTTTAACTCAAAAATACAGAATTTTTAGCAATTTTGCCAACATTTCAAAAGAATCACCACGAAAGATCTGCTGCTTGTCTTGCTTTTTGATCAGGGCTCCTGGGTCGCGAAGCGGTCCGTATCGTCCATACCCTCCAACTGCTACGGAATTTCCGTAGTTTCAGAAATCTTCTTTTCAGACGGTAGCAAAATTAATGTCTTAGTATTTAAAAAAAAAATTAATTTTAGCGTAACATGTCCATTATTACTTATAAAAGTGCAGGCCATATGGCTAGATTCTTAAGTTCTGATAAAAGTTTTATGAGAGATCCATTTGCTTTAAAAATTTCTACTTTGGTTCGCTACCACTAGAAAGAATTATTTTCAAAATCCTCATAAGGTGGAGGGTATGGTATCGTCGAAAACATTGGAGTCAAGTGGCGTTGGATATAAACTTTTAAATCCTTTATATGTAGTGGTGGGGAAATTAATAGCAAAAATATATTATGAAATATAAACTTAACTACCACTAGAATAATATTTTACAAAAAACGTCGAAAGTAGGCAGCTTTGTCTTACTTCGTTTTGAAAAATTTTACGTGCTAAATTGAACTAAACTGAAAAAAGGAAGTAAACATTTTTTTAGCTTCAATACCAGCAATCTCAGGTATTACTAGAGGACGGTAATATTTAATTAAGAGTGCATTCAGAATTATAGTGGTATTATAATAGGTAAAAAGCATTAAATTTTCTGCACCTATTTCTGCCGATGCAAATTTTCCATGGGTAAACAGGTCAACCCTTATAAAAATTCAAGATATTTTTGAGGTTTATTTCAGGTTGTTGTAACGTATTAAGCTATATTAAGAAACAGTTTTTTGTTTCATTAGAAAAACATTTATTCCACAATGACAAATACAGTAACGACATTAAATTACCAGTAACGGATTATTAAAAATCTTTCAATAAAATATAGAAAATCCCGTAACGGGTTAGAATAAACTTACAAAAAAACATAAAAAGACCCGTAACGGGTTATAGTATAAACATCAAATTCAAAAACTAACCTCCAAAATATCAACAACTCTCTGCTGTTCTAATTTTATCGTCTGCTTTTATTTTATTGTTTATCTCTTTATGTGATTAGTTTATTTTATTTACGCTTTTGCTAGCCTGTTATTTTTTTAATATTTTTAGACTTCATAACTCCTCTCCCATTGGAAGAACTTCTCCATAGATGGAAAAGTTATTAATGAACTTATTTGTGTACTTCGTTAAACTTTAGGTTGAAACCAATGCTTTATGTTACAATCATAACGTTTAACTTTTAAAACTAGATTTTCTAACTGTCAAATTATATGCGAGATACAATTTTTTACGTTAGAAATGATCTACAATATTTAACTTTAAAACTTAAAATTACTAAATTATTTTTAGACTCTTGTAGAAAACATTAGTAGACAATTCACTTGTAACTCAATTTTGATATCAAAGTAAAATATTCAAAATAAAATTAGAATGTAAATAAATATTATATAAATTTAACTTCACATAAAATAAATACAAAGAAATATAACTATTTACATGTATACAACAAAGAAAACCCCTAATCTAAAGACTGAAGCTAACCAGATTTTTTTTCAAAGTGCTTATTTTCATCTTGGTATCACTAGTTTTAAATCCAAACAATATACTTAACTTTTTTAAACTTCATATAATTCGATTCCAACTCAATCTTATGAATATTTATGTACAAAACTAAAACAAATAACATTATTTAAGAACACTTTTCTCTACAAACAAATTCGCTTAACACTTATGTTTCATTTTCAAGTATAATCATTTTAAACACCTTTTAAAATTAAACTTAACTGGTTCAATTTCAAAAACTTCAATACAATTTTATCTTATATTTCCAGCTTAATTAGAGCTTTAATTCAAACTTTAATAACAACTAATTTCTTTACGAGTTAATTCTTAAAAAAAAGTAAATCATACATATGAATAAGGAAATAAGACTTATCTGAACATAACATCACGACATAATATTTAAAATTATATAAACTATATTTAAAACAAAGCAAAAGAACTAAAGAAATAGCAAAAAAAAATCTTATTATTTAAATAAAAATCACTTGAAGTGAAATAGTTTACAAAACCTATCTTGAATAATATTTAAACTGTTTTAGTTTTATAGTTTAATAACAAAAAACCTATGTCTTAAATATCGTTTTACTTTACTGCTATCGTTTGGCGATAAAAGATTATATTTTCATTATTATTTTTACTTTCACTCATTAAACGTAAGCTAAATTCGGGGTAATTGACGAATTTCGTAGTGCCATGACTTCTGTAGTTCTGTAGATGTTAATATTCTTTTACCAGCTTTTTTTTGTATCACCACAATTCTTTTCCTAAACTTCCGGTTCCACTGATTAATTTTTTGGCAATTTTAATAACTCTGCCAAGTACACTAGATTTCTGTTTCTTACACCAATGACTGAACTTTTCCTTCAATCTTACTTTATTAACACTGTAATTTTTCCAAAATGGCACATATCTTTTGCACTTATACTTGTTCGCTTTGGTACCATGATCAAAATTACATTTGGCTCTCAAAATTTTCATCTTTACTTTTATCCGCAAAAATTTTAAGTTTCCTCGAAATCGATTCTTTTTTCGTTTCAATCGTGTATCTATAAATTTGTGATCAAAATTATTTGGAGACCATTTTAGTTTAACTCTTTGCGTGACGCTAATTCTATCGAAGTTCTTTTTTCTTCTCCTTTTGGCATTGATTTTTCGCCATTGGCTCATTTACTGGTCACTTCCATTCTTAACAAAGTTCTTATGAAAGATTTTTACTTGTTTAGCATTACCTGAAGTTTTCTATCTTGAACAAAATTGTTCATGCCTACACGGCAATTTAACCACTTTGGTTTCAATTTTATCTTTTGCACTATTCGATACTATTTTAGTCGAAAATATTTTATGTTTCTCTGTAACTAATGCCTTAGTCCCTATTTTATCACCGACTATCTCATGCAAATTTTTGCCACCTTTATTGGAATCAATCTTCATCTTTTCTTCCATAACTGATGTTTCAGTGCTAACATGATTTTTAGTAGATTTTGCTTCAGAAATCCTTACATTTCTTTTTTCTTTCTGGCAAACTTTTTTATTTTCAACCAAAATTATTTCACAATTTTCCGACGAAAAAATATCTGCATATGATGCTTCTTTCTCGCACTTTGGGTGTGCTATTTCTTCTTCTACAATTTTTACCACAAATTGACTTGGCAATCATCTTTTTCTTCATTTTTCATCTCAACTTTTTCTTGGATGACTCGATATTTCTTTTCTTCTACCACCTTTACTATCTCTCTAGAAACTCCGTCGGCCAATTCGTCTTTTGGTACTGCACTTTTTGTTTCTGTGTTTAGTACACATGGACTAACTTCCAATATCATATCTATTTCTGCTCCTACTATTTGGTTCTGTTCTTTCCGATCCTCCATTAAAATATTTCTAACACTTTCCATAATGTTTTCATCAAATTTTTCGAATTCCTTACGAAAATAAGTTTTATTTCTTTTATTCTCTTCAAAACTTGGAGAACTCCAATCAGACACTTTTTTAAAAATATTTTCTTCCCACTCTATAATCACATTCTTATTTACTTTAGTAATTGGTTGCATTTCTTCTAGTACAGTCCGCAAAAAAAAAAGATATCAGTGCTTAAAATTATTACAAACAGAATATTTCATTAATCAATCAATAGTTAAAATATTCACATTCGGCGAATATAAAGTCAAACGATCCGAATCATATGTATCTTTATATTCTTCTTTGTTAGCGGAAAAAAACGGATAAGCCTTATAACATTTGTTGAATTTTAATTTTGTATAATGTCATAGCAAAAAGTTTTATCTTCGGGGCTATATCTTAGAACTGATGGGGAATATGTTTTTCTTTGATTAAAAACGCTATTTTTTAAATTAAATTTCGATTTATTACCCTCAAAATACGAGGGAGACGATGTTTTGAAAAACTGGTTTTTATCGTTTAAACGCTAAAAAGGCAGGAATTTTTGTTACTCTAATGTCATACTAAATTGTCACCACCCTTCAGTAGGTTCAAAGACAAAATGTAATATGATTTTTTTAATACAATTGTTTGAAAGCACAATTTAATTTTCATTTTGTGTCTCATTAAACATAATCGTTTCATCTTTCCCAGTTTTTCCTAAAGGTATGAAATTTACACCAGCTTTTTCTTTCGAATATAAAGTCGAGCTTGTATCATTGGTAATTTTGGGTTGAATTCGATACTCCGGTTGAATAGCTAAACCACTCGCAATTTTCCTTTTTCAAGCATCAATGAAGTTATCATTCAATTCATAAAGAAATAAGATTCAATCCTTGCAGTTATTTAGAATGGCTTGCTTTTTATCCTTCAATTTTTTTCATCAAAAGGGTGGTTTGGGACAATAGCTCTAAGAAATATGATGAGATCAACATCTTGTTCAACAATAACTGCTTGCCGGTTATTGTTGTTATCATGATTGTATTTCTAATACTAAAATGACTGCATATAACTGAGAAAAATAAACTACTAATGTTTGAAAGAAAAATACTCAAAGCCATCTTCAGAGCGGTTAAAAGAAACAGTGTTTGGAGCATTCAATACAATTATGAATTATGCAGAAAATTCAAGTAAC